ATGAAAAGAAAATATCTCATCCCTCAAGGGAATTCTCTCCCCATCAGATTTCACTTTTTTTTTTTTTTTGAAATGTGTTATCTTTCACTCTAGTAAAAGTCAAGATTGATGATATGGAACCATAGTTAAGATTTGCCTTTCTCTTTTAATATTTTTTCTTAAAGAGAGAGAATTAAACAGGCCTGTGTTTCCCACCCCTAAGTTGTTAAAGTCAGAGCTAAAGTATAAAAACATCAAGAGGAATAGGGTCTTCTTTTCAGCATGAGGCTGCTTCATGAAGACAGAACTGGTGGCATCAGGACCAGAATTATACTTCACAGTCTGCGTGGCTTGAAAAAATATATGTCTCTGTAGATGCTTCCATTCCTTTTCATTACTGCCAAACCACAGAAATTATTTTCCTCTTCTGTTTTGATCTCTTTAGAATCACACAGGCCATTTCAAAGCATGTGCTTGTTTTGTAGTTCAATCTATTTCTGAAACATTTAAGATGTAAACTAAAGGAGCTATTACTTGGTCGGTTTCATCATTGACTATATCTATATTTATGTTGTTTCATAGTGCCAGTTGCAAGCCTCCATTTTATATAGAAATTTAATCTATCCACATCTGCCAGATTTCTTCATTAGCGAGTCTTTTGATGTTGTTGACTTATTTCCTTCTACCCCAATTGTATCAATTTAGATATAAACAATTTTTTAGTTTTACTCCATTTTCGAGAAATAAAAAGGAATGGAGTATATGGAGAATGCTACAGAATTAGTATGATTCATGTCCATGAACCTTGGAATGCCTATCAGTAATCTACATCAGTACTTCTGTTCTCAAAATATGGCTTAGATTTGGGCTTTTGTATTTTTATAATGAGTCTACTGTTTTCATTAGAGGATCTTAGTCTGTGAAAGGATACCTATAAAAAAATCAACAGTCTTGGGAATAGAATTGCCAGATTTATCAAATAAAAATAGATGCCCATTTAAATTTGAATTTCAGATAAACCATGAATATCTTCAGTACCAAGGTGTCCCAAATATTACATGATTGTTTTAGTATAAGTATATCCCAAATATTGTATGCATAATGAATAATTTTCCTCCCAATGAGTCCCAAACATTACATGAATTTTGTAAGTATAGCTTAAGTATAGTATGGAATATACTTAGACCAAAAAGATAATTCATAGTTTACCTGAAAGTAAAATGTAATTGAGTGTGCTGTATTTTATTTGGCAACTCTGCTTAGAAGGCATCATGGTAGTGTAAGTGAACACATGTGGTTTTGGTATTTAATTGGGTAGCCTTGGGCATCTCACTTAACTCACCTGAACCTAAGTTTCATCATCTGTAAAATGGGAGAAAATAATAGATATTTGCAGATTTTCTGTAAAGACTAGAAAATATTTATTTAAAACACCTGGAAAATAATAGAGTGTCATGAAAAAGTAGCTGTTATTATCAGAACAAAGAAGAAATACAAATGGAAGTTTTTAGTGGTTCTTTTTTTAGCTTCATAATAAATAACAGCACTCAGCAGTTAAACAGCTCATTCAATTAATAATAGAAGAGTCCACCTAGACGTTGGTGACTGTATACCAGATCAGAGATTTGACCAATAATAAAATATACACAAGCATTAACCTTCCTCCGCTCCTCTATTACTTGCCTGTTATGCTACTTACCAAAGGTCATATAACTTATTAGTATCAGCCTGAATATACGTTGCCTTTTCACATTGTCTTTTTATTAACTAATTCACATTTTTATTTCAGTCCTATCTTTCTCAAACATCAATTTTGTAAAATTTTATTGAGATCTAATTTACATATAAAATGCAGCATTTTGAAGTACACAATTCAGTAGTTTTTATTGTATTCACAAGGTTGTGCAACCAACACCACTGTCTAGTTCCAGAACATTGTCATTAACCCAAAAGAACCCATACTTAGTAGTAGCTACTCCACATTTCCCCCTCTCCCAGCCTCTGGCAACCACTAATATAATTTCTGTTTCTATGGCTTTAACTGTTCTGGATAGTACTTATAAATGGAATCATACCACATGTGGCCTTTTGTGTCTGACTTCTTTTACTTAGCATGATATTTTAAGGTTCATCCATATTGCAGCATGTGTCAGCACTTCATTCTTTTTATGATTGAACAAGAGGCCTGGTGCATGAAATTCGTGCACGGGTAGGATCCCTAGGCCTGGCCGATGATCAGGGCCGATCAGGGCCTTCCAGCTGCACGCCAAGGCCTTCCTTCCCTGGCTGCTGGCTGCCCGCTGCCATCCAGGGCCTTTCTTCATTCTGCGCCACCCCCTGGTTGTCAGTGTGTGTCATAGCAAGCGATTGAACTCCCATTCTCCCCAGTCAAACTCCTGAGGGGACAATTTGCATATGAGCCTTTTATATATATATATATAGATAATATTTCATTGTATGGCTATTTAAAACATCTTCTTTATCCATTTATCAGCTGATGGACACAGGTTGTTTCCACTTAGTGACTCTTAGGAATAATGCTGCCATGAACATTCTTGTACAAGTTTTGGTATGATTATGTGTTTTGGTTTTGGTTTTTCCCCTTAGGTCTATATCTAGGAGTGGAATTGCTGGGATAGATCATAACTCTTTATTTATCATTTTAAGCAACTGTTTTCCAAAACGACTCATTATTGTGCATTTACACATTTCTCCACATCCTCACTTGCTATTATATTATTATTTCAGCTGTCCTAGTGGGTGTGAAGTGGTACCTCATTGTGATTTTGATTTGCCATTTCCTAGTGATTAATTACCTCAAACACCTTTTCATGTACTTGTTGGCTGTATGTATATTTTCTTTCCAAAAAGATCTATTCAGATACTTTGCCCATTTTTAATTGGGTTCTTTGTCTTCTTGTTGTTTGAGTTGTAAGAGTTTTTATATATTCTCATAAGAAAGATGATTTGCAAATATTTTCTCCCATTCCGTGGGTTATCTTCACTTTCTTGACAGTGTCCTTTGATGGATGAAAATTTTTAGTTTTGATCAAGTCTTACCTATTTTTTCCTTTGGTTGCTTGTGCTTTTGGTATCATATCACATTATCTTATCTTCCTTGAAGAATAAAACACACACTAAACTAGAAATAAAGTGACACGAGCTCTATTCTCACCTCTGCAATTAAAGAAATGTGTGAGCTTAGGCAAGTGCTTAAACTCATTGGGAACTCAGTTCCACATCTGTGAGAAGAAGCTGAGTTCAGCAGAGCAGGCACTGTGTAACTTTTTGTGAGTATGTTATCTGTATGAAAACCCCTAGGTTAGTAGTTCTCAACCTGGATTATATGTGGCAGTCTCTGAAGACATTTTTGGTTGTCACAGCTGGGGATGGTTGCTACTGGCATCTAGTGAGTAGAGGTCAGGGCTACCGTAAACATGTTACAATGCACAGGATGGCTCTTCCAACAAAGAATCATACAGACCAAAATGACAGTAGTGCTGAGGTTGAGAAGCCCTGCTCTAAAATTCTATTTCTGTTATTCCAGCTTCTTTTCAGTGGGTATCTTTGAGGCTGTCTGCAGGAGCCAGAGCATTCTGTGCTCTTAACCTAATGTTAGAGGTCCCAGCCTTATGGGGGCAGTGGAAGGGAGAGGTACCAATAATTCTTGCAAGTCAGGAGATCTTTTTGAAAGTGTTTTCAGGGTTTTAAAAACTATTGTGCCTTCTAATATGAAGAGAAATATTTCAATACAGACACCTCCAGGCAAAGTCTTGTAGATGTGTTCTTGTTATTGAGTCCTTTTCTTTAGGGTTTCTGGAACAAAATAGTTTTTGTGAAATAGTTGGTACATACTATGAAGTATATTTAATCAATCATAATGGGAAAAAAGAAACAGAACAGCTTGATGGGAGAAACGTGCAGTTCATATGTCTCTGTATTAGTGAATTCTTCGATTTCAAAGGAAGTTAATATTGTTATTCTAGCTGATCAGTTCACTTCAACTTTATCCCATACTATCTACTGGAATGTCCTGATTCACCTGAGTTCCATAAATAATCTATCTAAAATAAAATAGACAGTATCTTGAAATATGTTGCAGCATTTATGAAGATATTGGCATGTAAAAAGCTATTAAACTTGCAGGTATTGCTTTCTTGTGATAATATGGCTGATTATTTCATGCTTTGCACCATTAGATATAATTGTTACCACCACAACCATCACCACTGTTATCATCATAGACTCAGTATTCTAAGCACTGTATAAGTTTATCTCATTTTTTGTCACAAAAATCTTATGAGGTAGTTTTTTTTAATCCTCACTTTGCAGATAAGAGCATAAGGTACAATAATGTTGTAAAATACTTGCTAAACCATATTTCCATATTAAACATTTTCTTGTATACCAAAACTGTTTCTTATTTCAACAACAGAGAAAGTATGTTTATTATTAAATCTGTAAACATTCATGTCCTGAATTTTCTGGCACCCTATGTAATGTTAATTAAAGCCTGAGTTATTTCTAATTTTTTTAATGTCTTATGGTTATTGGTTCTTGTAGCTTATATACATACCCGGTGCACAAAAATTTGTGCACTCAGGAGGGTCCCTCAGTCCGGCCTGTGCCCTCTTGCAGTCTGGGATCCCTCAGAGGATGTCCACCTGCTGGCTTAGGCCCACTCCCCAGGGAATCACGACTAAGCTGGTAGTCAGACATCCCTCTGGCAGCCTGGGAGCTCTCAGGGAATGTCCACTTGCCAGTGGGGCCACTCCCTGAGCGTCTGCCCCCTGGTGGTCAGTGTGTGTCATAGTGACCAGTCATTCCCAGTAGTTCTGCTGTTAGGGTCAATTTGCATATTACTCTTTTATTATATAGGATGTAGCTTGAAGCTACTGTAATACTTTTCCATCTCCGGACACCCATGTGCATGTGTGAATATGTAATTATAAAATTGTAAAACTTCTCCTATACATGTAAGTAATGAAAGGATTTTTGTTTAACTTTTTAAAAATGTACAGGAAGCAGTAAAAGAAAACAACAAGAGAAAAGAAATGGAAGAGAAGACTAGGAGGGCAAAGCTTGCAAAAGAGAAAGCCGAACAAGAAAAGCTGGAACGCCAGAAGAAAAAGAAACAGCTCATTGATATAAACAAAGGTATGAAGTACTTCCTTTTTTTAAATGATCTATAAAATGCAAAATAATTGCACTTAATCAATTTTGGATTTTAAAGTGAATTGTATTATTGGTAGAAAAATTCACAATAGTATTAATTACTTGTGTTAAATTCTCTCATGAAATTATCTGCATTTCTTGTCACCCTACACTGAGCACTCGGGATTTTTGGCAACCAATTCAAGGTAATATGTTGTTGAAACAGTCTTTTTCTCTTTGTTATTTTATTTTTTTGCCAAATTATGTTCCAGATGAGGCAGTGGTGAGGGTAGAAGGGGGCAAGATGAAGAGTTTATTGGTATGGGGAGATGAGCCTTATAGCTCCAATTTTCATTTTGTTGACACAGAGCAGCAATAATTAACACTCTTCCTAGGGGGCTTGAACATTTCAAGTCATAATTGATAGCGACAGCACTATTATAAACAGAAAAAACTAGGGAGCAGCATCCTGCTCAGCTGTGAGCCTAGGAACAAAATGCTGGTATATCCACGTATTATAAAGTAGTTGTTTTGTTGCTTAGCAAGAATGACCATAGATTAAAGGTAGGTTTTTTTGTTCGGTTTTTTTTTCTTTCTACAGAAGAGAAAGTAAATAAAGTAATTGGCACCAGATAGCTTCCCCCTGAAAATATAAGAATGAAAAAGCATAGTCTTTGCCATTGAAGGTTAGAGAATTTAAAAACAAAGCAAAATCAGAGCAAGATACGAAACAATATGATCAATATGGACCCCCTATTTCTAAATACAGTGATAGTCAAAATCATAAGCACTGTATAATGTTGAGCATGTGCCAGATGCTGTTCTAAGACTTTCACATGTTTGAAGTAAATTAATCCTCATAACATCTCTATGAGGTAGATATTATTATCTCACTTTCCAGATGAGGAAACTGAGGCTCATAGAAATTAAGGAACTTTCCCAAGGTCACACAAACAGAAATTATTAGCACCAAGATTAGAATCCAAGCAGTCTGGCTAGGGAATCTTTGCTCTTGTAAATGCATTGTCAAATAATAATAATAATAACCACAAACAAACAAAAAACATGTAGTGCTCGCTATGTACCAGGAACTTTTCTGGGAGATTTACATATGTGAACATATTTAAGCCTCATAAAATCTTATTAGGAAAGTGCTACTATCTCATTTTAAGATTAGAAAACTAGGCACAGAGAAGTTAAGTAGCTTGCTCAAGTTCACAAAGATAGTAAGAGATAGAACCAAAATCTGGACCTAGGCAGTCAATGGCCCAAGTTCATTAGTAATTATTATTATATATTTTACTATAATTATTAATCAGTATCAATTATTCTGTGGTAATATTTCTAAATGGCTAATCTGAAATAATATCTATACCCATTAAGCTTATCCTTCACAACATTAGAATGTACAAAAATGTTCAGGCATTGACTATAGTTTATGTTTTCATGCCATGAAATAAATATAACATAATTTAAAGAACTAAAAAAGTAGACAGCTGAGGTAAAATAATAGTATCAACATCATTTAGCAATTTTCATAGAATATGGTCTCTTTCCCACACCACACCACACCATACCCCTCCCCCCCAAGTATTTATCAACTTTCCACTATTTTCCTAAAAACGTATCTATAAAGAAAAAAAGAAAGGACCTATATTGATTGTGCCTATAATATATATTCTTATTCACCAAGATTTTGTTAATTACCTCTTCAAATAAAATTGAAGACATAGGATAAAGATCCAAATAACTTCTTAAGCACATGCTTGGCTGAGTGGTCTGAACATGAAAGACACACTTTAAAATAGGATTTATCTTTGTGTGTTGTTACCTTATCTCTATTTACAGATCAATCAAATAGCAAACTTCACCATGAAGTTCTTGATTTGTGGCCCATATGTTGCAAATACTTATTATTTTTATTTATTGTAATATTATTTTACACCGCATATGTGTGTTAGTCCTTATAAATATTTTTCAACAAGAAAGCTTTTCATTGGAAGTGTATAATCTTTTTTATTGTAGATATTTCAATTTATTGTTTACGTATTAGTCATATTTGAGAAAGGAATTATAATCCCTCTCTCTAGAACAGGAGAAAACAATGGAAGGTACTGTTATACAAGTGGGATATATGAACGTAAATGGTATATGTGATTTTCAACCACATTCATATTATACAGTTTTAAAATGATCCAATCTCTTACAATGACCAATTACTTATTTGAAAACATAGAGTTGATTGAGGATATATGCCACCTAAGTATCAGTTCAAACACATAAACAATTTTATTGGTGGTACTTATTATGTGTGAAAAAAAGAACTGTTTACAATATATAACTATCATGTTTCAGGGGACATGACTTAACAGTAAAGTTTTTATATTACAAAGCAAGTTTAAGTATTAATTATTTTAGAAATAAACCACCGAAACTGGAATGACATTTAACTATATTCAAAGAAGATGGTAAATTAGTTGACAAAATTTACCTACCTACTAGAGAAAATCTTAATCTGTTGAGATAGACAATGTAGGTAAGATTTAGCTTTTTGACACACAGAAAGCAACACCTGCTATTATGTGAACGTTAGTTTAAAAAAAAAAGCTTACTGCCACGAATACTTAGGTACTTGGCCAACTTCTGACCTACGAGACATATGAAGCCACAACAAACAAACAGAACACCCCAGGAATAATAAAAACCTTCTTTCTTATCATAGCTTTATTTCTCTTCTGTTGTTTCAGTCTCCAAATACATCTGGCACAGCGCTGCATTAGGGCCATATATAAGCGCATCAGTCTCATCTCCCAACTCTGTTAACTGTTCCAGTGAACACACACAAGGATAATGGTCTTTTAACATATCTGGCAATTTAGAAGTCTTGTCTTGAAGATGTTGAAAATGTCTAACTGGTGTCAGAAACTGTAGCTCTTTAAATGTAGAATTTGTTTTATCCAACTGCATTTTCTTTTTTACATTTTGCAAGAATGGTGTAGTAGACACATTCTATTTAATTAAGCAACTCTCCCTAGTTTCTGCATTGGGGGTTTTAACATCATTGGTTATCTTGCTCTTCTTCGCAATCTTGAAATACCACAATTGTATGATGATTATTTATTTTCCATTTCAGGTTTTCCTGACTCTAGATTTGTTCTTCGGTTGAACAAGGCTCCTCAAAATTTTCTCCAAATGTAACTTTTTCTTGACTCTTCATTGTTAGAGTATCTCCAGTTGCATGTTGCATTTCTTCAGTAGGCTGAGCTCTTGCCAGAATGGCCTTCTCATAGATTGCGATAAGATTTCCAATAGAACTTGTAAGTGCTTCAACACGTGCATACCCAATATTTAGCAAGCTTTTTTTGGCATCTGTAATATTTTTAATCGGCTCATTCAGTGTGTCCAACATTTCTTCTTTGGGGCATCCCTCATTAATCAGCTTTAGGCCTTCACAAAATGTCTTGTTTACTTTTCCAGGAAATAGTCGGTGTTCATCTTCTGACGTGGTAGTCCAAAGGACCCAACTGATTTTTCATTTCCGGTTCAGGCTGGGGAACTACTGAGCTAGGAGGATTTTTAGCATTCTTCTTTTGCTAGCTCTCCACTCGCTCAGATGAGCTTTTCTTTCTTTGCAGTTTCTTTGGGATGAACCCACCTACATAATAGGTATCTCATCTATAGGTATTTGCTTTTGCTATAGTATGTCCACACTGGTCTTTGGAGTTTGACTTTTCTATCAGTTTAGTGTTAGAAAATGAAGCAGGCCTGGCTGTGATTTCAGATGTGATGCTCCTTGGTATTTTCTTATTTCTGTTTAGTTCCTGAGAAGAGCTGGGTTTGACACTAAAGAAAACTATTTAATTGTAGTAATTCTTTCTCATGAGACCCTTTCCGAATTGTAACATTGGCAGAGGTTCCACTGATGCCTTGTTTCAGGGCGCCCAGGCTACTATGGGTATTATTGTGGTTTTCTATATGAATTGAACTCACATTGAACAATTTGGCCACAAGCACAGAGTTCTTGAGCATGTTAGCACCTTGCTTTAGTTTCCTGTGGTTACTTGTTTCTTTTTATTATTGTTTTAATGTGAAACGCTTGGATTAATGTCATACATTGACCTTGGGGCTCATCTTTAATTGGTAACAACTGCAAATTTTTATTATTATTGTCCAAATTATGTGTGTCAATTGCTATAGTCGAATTGGTTAATTCAGTAGAAGGTTTTAAAGGAATATACTTTTTTCCTGTTGTAATATTATTTTGTGCCTTGTAGTTCTAAGGACATTTTCTTTATGAGATTTTTTTGTCTTAGGTTTCTTCTTGGACGTGACTCTCATGTGTCATCACTCTCTGGTTGCTACTGGATAATATCTGATTTTACTGTTTATATGCAAAAAAAGTTTTTCTTTTGAACAGATGTTCCTTGAGTTTTTGTTTTCTTTGCTCTCCAAACACGAACTGAGCTCTCCGACTCAGAGGATGCTGCAGGTCATATGACACCGCTGGGGCGCTCATCGCAGTGCGAGGTCACATGTGGTCTTAATTAAGGTGAAAAGATGCTGAAAAGAAATAATAATTAGAACAGCATTGCGTGTCAAGATCTAACTCAGTGTCAGTGAGCTTCTCAGACAGTGTCTCATAAAAAATGCTGTTGTTAACTAGGTGTAAGTCAATTACAGACATTCTGAGAACCTGGGAGGAAGCATGGTAGAGCTACACAAAATGTGACTCCATGGGAGATGTGAGAATGCCGTACAGTCAGAAAGTGATTTAGAGGACTTTAAATGTGTCCAATTAGAACAGTGTATTCCACTTGCCATTGCAGGAACATTGTAATCTTACTTTCCACTGAACGAGAGATGACAGAATATTTGACTGCCATTGTGAGATACCTATTATGTAGAGCAGAGATTTTCAGTCTTTTTCATCTCATGGCACACAAAGTAATTACTAAAAGTCCGTGGCACACCAAAAATATATATTTTTTGCTGATCTGACAAAA